ATGCTTTCACGAGAATTCTGTTTGGCCCCATCCTCCAGCCCACCGTCCTGAGATTACAGACTGACTATTACTACTGAAGCATCATAAACTTTGGTACTGGAAAAACGACATTAAATCTAACCTGAAGGTACTAAGGTCTAATTAAAAGTAAACGAAATAATGGGGAGGAGACCACACGAAGGCCAGACCACTAAATCAAGTGACGGCTAAGACTGAAAACTTGCAGTCAAGGCCGGGCTCGGTGGCTCACGCCTGTGATCCCAGCACTTTGGGAGGCCAAGGCAGGAGGATCCCTTGAGCCCAGGAGTTGGAGGCCGCAGTGAGCTGGGACTGCACCACTGCACTCCAGCCTGGGCGACACAGCAAGACCCTGTCTCTCCAAAAAAGCCCGCAAACCTTTCAGCTGAGTACTAACTGCACCCACCACCTTCACCCCAGTACTTATCCTATGCACACGATCCAAAGGAAACCAGAGAATGTTCCAGCACATGGTCCCTACCTCCCTGAGGTCAGAGGAGCCTCTCTTCAGCTCGCCAGCCATCACCAGCACCGATTTCAGGGCCCTGAGTCCGAAATCGTAGTGATGCTGCTTGGAGAGCTGCTCCCGGGCCAGCTTGTACAGAACGGTCATCTTTTTCGCCAGGGTCTTTTGACAGAAGGTAAAGAGAAAAACATCGAACAGAATCAAATGATGCAAAAGCAACAGAACGTGATTACACAGATACAAGAAAATGGGTGCAAATGTTCCAGGGAAGCTGTTCTATAAATAAGCAAATCTGTCTCTAATGCTCAGAAATTCCAGGTGGGTCCTTCGTTTTTAACCACGGCAAATTGGGAACTAATTTAAAAGAAACACCTGCCTTACCAGAATTCGATGACTCTCTTACAAAGCTGGGGAAAATCTTAACCACCTTGATTTAAAGAACAGAACCCGCCGCAGTAAGCACACTCCAAATATATGCTTGTTTATTTTGACCTAAGCCTATTATTAAAGGTAGAACTGTTTTTGAGGACAAGGGCCACCTGGTATGCATCAAGGACTCAAAGCCCACTGGTCCCTGAGGCAGGTGTGGGAATCTTAGTCATAAAAACTACGAACACGAGATCTCATCCCACTGACTCAAAGGCCTCACAACAGGCAGCAGGTGCTTCCAATAAAACACATTGCAGGAAAGCAACGTAACAACCCTTTATGTTAAAAGTATTCTCTATTTTGTATCAACCTCCTGGAAATATCCACGTGCATACTTTTATAGATATTTTACAGAGGATAAAAGTTATCAAAAAAAATTTTTTTAAATCGCATACTCTCAATGGTGCTAGGCTGAGTGAAAGCCGCCCATCTCAAAGGGTTACGTGCGGTCTGACGATTCCAGGCGTAGACCGTTCTGGAAGTGATGCAGTTACAGGGACTGGGAAACAGCTGGGGGCCTGGCAGGCGTTAGTTGGGAAGGGTGTGACGATTAAGGGGTGACAATAGGGAGTTTCTTTGTGGCGATGGAACGGTTCTGTATCCTGACTGCGGTAATGGTCACCTGGTGCACGTGTGATAAAATGTCACAGAACTACATGCACGAGAGAGACAGAGACAGAGAGAGGATGTGAAACCCGGTGAAATACAGCCAGTAGCTGAGTTCCTGGCACTCGTGCCAAGGTCATTTTGCTGGTTTTGAGGAGACCATGGAAACAAGACGCTATGGTGGGGAGAGGGTACATATGTTACTATTGTTGCAATGCCTTGTGCACCTTCGATTATGCGGAAATTTAAAAAGAACTTAAGTAGTGGTGGGAGAGAAACAAAGCAAAAGTATTTAAGGAGCCACGCAGCGCTCACGGCCCTCAGCCCCCGCGTGGGAGCGGAGCCCGAGCCCACCTTGGCCCAGAGGAAGCCCTCGGAGAAGAGCATGATCTCGCAGATCTGCTGCAGGTCAGGCACGATCACCACCACCGGCCTGAACAGGGCCTTCACCGACTCGGGCAGCTCCGTGCGGCCCGCGTAGCCGGGGTTCATGGTGATGAAGATGCCCATTCGCGAGTCCAGCGTGATCTCCTGCCCTTCGAACTGCAGGACAAGAAGAAAGAAAGGAGAGGTCATGCGGCCCGGCCCGCCCCGGGGCGAGGGGCCTTGGGTGAGCCGCGTGGAGATTCATTTTCATGGTACGAGGCGGACGACACCATTTAGCTCCTTTCCCTTTCCCAGGTGTCAAACACAGAACACCCCCTCCCCCCGCCCCGACAAACGCCGCTTGCTGAAGACCCCGGTGTTCTGGGGGGTGAGCCCCAAACTCTGATCTGAACCCAGGGTCTCCCCACTGGAGAAGTGGCTGAGGCTGGGAAGGCATGAGCCTGGGGCTGGTACGAGGCGCTGTGTGACCCCCAACAGGTCACTTACCCTCTCTGAGTCTCACGTGCCTTTCCCGCATGGTTGCGGCGACTGAACGAGACAGCAGGGGCCACGCTTGGCCCGCACCTCGCACGCACGCACGCACGCTGGTTTCCGTTCCGCCTACTTGTCGGATCTTTCCCACCCATCTCCGCCCCCGCGTGGGCGAGGCGCTTAATGCGGTCAACCCTCCCCACATTAATTCCAGCTGAGCCACCTTCAGGACGCCATCTCTGCTCCTCCGGTTGCCCCAGGGACCGAGGACCTGCAGACGTCCCTGCATTCTCAGCCTCTGTGGCCAAGGCTGAGTCCCGAGTGTCTCTCGGTGAACTTGTCTATTTTATTTCTCCTCGTTGTCCACCAGGCAGGCCGAGGACGGCCTGGCTATTTTTATGAGGCACAGGCTGCGTCGCCGACAAGAGGGCAGCCCAGCGGACAGCCGGTGCTCTCCAAAAAACAAGCCCACTGTCTTGTCCCCAAGTCCCCACGGAGACCATCCTCACCCTCCTCTGTATCCCCCGAGGCCCAGACGGTCCCCTGGGGAAGAGCAGACGCCCCACTGTTCCCAGAAAGTGCATCACAAGTTACATTTCCTTCCCCGAGGGGCAGTCAGCTCCACCCTGAGATATTTCAGAAGAACTAATTACAGGGAAATGTACCCAGAAGCTTTACTGAGATCCTGAAAATATTTAGCAGTATCCAGTTTACATAATCTCTGGACAGTAACCCCTGACGAGGTCTGGAGAGAAAGCAGGTGGGATGCCAGGGCCACCAGCTCAAGCTCAGTTTTGAATCTGAACCCCCCAGTGGGGCTCTGGAGGATGTGTAGGAGTTTTCCAGTGAAGGGAAAGAAAGGACAATTCCAGATGGATGGGGACAAATACGGTGTCACAGGGTATGCTACGACTGCAGAGGGAGTGGCATGAGGTGACCAGCGTGCGGAGCAAGCAGGGGCAAGGACAGAAGCCAGGGCGGGGGCGGGGCACGTAGGGACCACAGAGGGCCACAGTGCAGGGAAACAGCCCAGTCACCCTGGTCCTATGTTGTCAAAGGACCCACTTGTCCGGGCTACCTGAATTATATGATAGGTCGTGTTTCTCTAAATTCTGATCCGGCTTAATATGATATAATTTAATGCAGACCTTTCAAACTCGAGCCTGCAAACATACCCTTGGACAGAGATTGGTGAATTCCCAAAAAAAAAAAAAAAAAGTTTTGTTTTGTTTTATTTGATTGATTGATTGAGACAGGGTCTTGCTCTGTCACCCAGGCTGGAGTGCAGTGGCGTGATCATAGCTCACTCTAGCCTCAAACACCTGGGCTCAAGTGATCCTCCTGCCTCAGGCTCCTGAGTAGTTGGGACTACAGGCG